GAGCATCCCTGGTCTGACTTCAGCCACTCAGGGACCCTTAGGGCAGCGCGGCACTGCATTGCCGGCAGCGCTGGAAAGCAGCGTGCAGCCCTGCGAAGGGGCAGCCACACGCACACAGCAGCTTGGGCAAGCTCTTCTCTTTGTATAGGATAAAGCAAGATGTGATTTTTTCTGGTTAAATGTGAAATCTGCTGCATCGACAACGTCTGTGACCACTGTGGCGGAAAAGCCTTTGCGCTCCCTCAGTAGTTTTTGGTGTGATTTTATAAACAAGCTGGAAGGCGGCAGTTCCCCGTGGTAGGTAAATAGATGCAGCACATCGTTACACCACTGAGGGGCTGCTGGGTTTAGTAAATAGACACTAGACAGGCTTATTAATTGCACACTTCTACACCAATCTGTTGGGTTTTTTTTTTAATTTCACCCAGACTGAAACCCTCCCACACAGTAAGGCTGAGGTTCTGTTACTCTGCTCACAGTACCAGGTACCTGCATTAGAGAGGCCGTGGTGTGGGAGCCAAATGAGGTGTTGCAGATTCCTGTAAACACTGAAAAGGCAACCCAAAAAGCCACCTTATCTACCTCCAGCGTTTTCCTGCTCACCTCCTTTGATGCAGAAGGAATTTTTGGCAAAGGTTAGCAGCTCATTGTGGTATCCAGCATTATCTTGCTTTCCTTGCACTTCTTGCCCACCCACCTCAGTTCACATCCAACGTGCTCTGAGCCAGGACTGGCTCTTGTAGGTGTTTGTGCAGTGCCTTGCACCACAGCAGCTCCAAGTGCTGGATGTTAATAACTTCAGGTCTTGCTCTTTGCACTACAGAGTGGAAGGAACACTTTACATGTCTCACTCTTAGCGAGGGTAATTAGAGAACCGCAGAATTCTGTAGTTCTGGCTAAGTGACATGACTCTTAACTATGTACCTAGTTACACAGCTGGCTTCGGTGGGAAGCCACGAGTGACCCCAGTGCAAGGCTGCATGAAAGACAAAATTATCTCCTTGGGTTAAATAAAACATGGCAGGTAGCAGCCACCTGGCAAAGCAGAAGCCAGGCCACCCGCTTTACCAGTAAGAGTTTGCTAAAGCAAGAGCAAACGATAGTGCTGGCACCCTGATGACTCAGCGGGTCCTTGCGACAAATTCACCAAAGGGAAGAAAAATGCAGGTTCGAGTCGTTTAATTTCTGAAGCAAAGTGTAAGACATTGCTCTCAGCAATTTCTCACATAAACCCATTCTTGTGTGCTGTTCAGGTAACAGAATATTGAAGATTACTCAAAATATTATTCAAGTAGAGCATATATTTGTTTATAAACTGTCCAAAGTTCTCATGCCATATGCTCTGTGAGAGAAAATAGCTTCCCCCTCAGACTGAAAAGAAAGTGAGTGTGTGTGACTGCTAGGCAAGGTCTGGTGGCAGGGAGGGGACTAGGTGGTATGGAAGATGCCGCTAGACGGGGGGGTGGACGGTGTGCAGTTATTCTTTACTAGAAAGCACAAAGATGTATTTTGAACTGCATGCGTAAGGAGTTTACACTGCAAATATTTCTACCCTGTATTTTGTATTCTCTGATTGCTCTTGGGTACTTTGCATTTTGTGAAGAGAAAAAATTGGCAAGAAAGGAAACTGAGGAGAAAAGATCTGATAAAGGCACTGTGACACATATTTAAAAGCATGTACATGCACACACACCCACACCCACACACACCCCCCCACTTCACCCCCCCTCCAGTACCCCCCTCCTCCCTGCCT